GGTTTATCCTAAATAAAAAAAAAAAAAAAACGCACAGTATTAACATATCGAATAGGATTGTGCTGCTGAGTGGAGACAGCATACTTCCTATTTTCCCAATAACAAGAGTACAGCAGATAGGTGAAGCTAGCGTATCATAAATTACCATCATCATCTATACGACATTTTATATTTGTTTTCCCTTTTGCCAATTCAGAGGGTTTGTTAGTCTATTTATCAAGGCTAACAGACATATTTACGGGATTCACGCTAGCTTTAAAACTGAAAATGTTCTGACAAAGGTTTTTTACCGCCCCAGTAGTCGACGAGACCGAGCTTTAGAAGATGTACTAGATGGTCGATGAAAAAAATAGTAGTGCTCTGATTTTACATGTTCCAGTATTATCGAATCCGTCCTTTTCTTGTTCGTGCTAAACCCTGTGTATTGAATTGGTGTATCAAAATATAATCAAATATCCGCGTTCGGCAGTAGCTGATCTATCAAAAGGCAATAAATGGAAAGGCAAAAAGAGGATGCTTTTTTTGTGCATTATCATTTTTTGTGCGAGTTTTGCCTTACTTTACTTAATATCTGGGCCTGTTTCTTGTTATCATGTAGTCTATGATAAGTTCTGTACTGTAGTATGTACGTTTTCATTCGAACTCTTGTTAGCCTGACTGGGTTGGATCCCACCATCCTGACTTTAAGCCATGCTAAAAATTTCATTTCAAACACAGCGCAAGACGAATGATCTGATAATTTTATCATGCACGACATATATGGCGACAATTGACCATATTATTAAGTGTCTAAGTCCGAACGAGTACACTAATTGAATAAAGCTAATTTACTAGGACTGCGGTATCGACATCGCAAACCCCAGCTCTCGAGACATTACTTATAACAAGTTTGAATGAAGGCTTTTTTCTATTATTTTTATGTAAATTTTATAAAAGTATGGTGTGTTTTTTCAAGGCTATTCTCTCGTATCCAGAGCCAACCAAAAAAATATACACTGAAATATTATATATGTTAGATCTTTATGTTGCGTTATCATAGCAAATTGTAGCTCATTGATTTCAGCAAGCGTTTTTGTCTTTTTACTTCCCTATGGAGAAGCAACTGAAATACGCCTCTTAAGCATTGATGTCGCTTTCTCCTTTAATATATCAAAAAGCGTACGATAAGCAAGCGGCATTCAAACCTACAGCTGCATATGGATATGACATCCAACAATATCTAAACGCTTTATCGCGGAAATGCTGGACTACATTGCTTAAACAACTGGACGAACGCTTTTATCGACAATCGCATAGGATTATCAGGAGTAAGATGGAAAACGTTTGTAAGGCAGGCATTTCTTTTCAATTCACATACCACGAAAAATGAGCATCCTAGAGCATGAACGTTTGCTGACGCGGCTCTGAGGGAATTATTCCCGAAGACCATGACATGCAGCCCTCAGTCACACCTGTGAAAGCCTTGAACGCTGCATGACGGACCAAAAAAGCTAGCCGCTAAGCCCGACAGCGTCGCTCAGAGGCAATAAGGATTCTCTTCAAGGGGTTAAGAAGTTGCGGACGTAACTAGAAGGGTTTTCAGAAAAGGCAGATTGTCATGTGGCTAAAGAAAAACAGAAATGGTGCTGATACCGTTGAGCAACGGTGAGTAGAGACGACCCATCTGTTTAATCGGCATCATCGTCAAATGCTTCGAACACATAAAAGAAGCACGACTTTGGGAGCTCACAGGTGGTTTACCTTCAGACACGCAGCATAATGTCATAAAGCAAGGATCGGCATATACTGCTATACATCGTGTAGTCCGAAAAGCCGAACTAATCCTAACTACACCTCTGCGAAAACGATATGTGATGTCTTTTTGGCAGTGTTTTTGATACATGAACACGTTTCAATAACCGGAGTTTATTCTCGATACCATGGGGTGAAAAGGGTACTTGCATATCTGGTCTGGGTCACCTTCAACGATCTACAGGATGGGAGAGCCACAAGCATGGGACCCTCCAGGAATATAGAGGCATGCATCGTACCAGCTTCTATTCTCGACCCACTTCTATGGAATACAACATATGATAATGTCCTCGGCCTTTGAGGCCTCACGGGAGAGTGAGACACTAGCATGTTGTATTACATGAAAAAGGGCCAAGGATAAATCCGTGCTAGGTACGGAACTGTACGCTAACAAGACTCTGAGCACTGCCCCAAAATGTATGCTTAATGCATACAGGCTTTAAACTCGCTCGGGAAAAAGCGAGGAAATTCTACACGCTAGACGGAAAAAGTCCAGCCATTTAACCCTACGTCCAAATGACAAACAAATTGCGATGCTAAACGCGACAGGATATGTAGGAGTGCATCTAGACAGTTTACTCAGTGGTAGAGTACATGGAAGCATTAAAGCAGCGAACTCAGTAGTCTGAATTTTTCCACCGTATAAGGACCAAAAGCGGCAAGCCGTCGCAGACTACCAATATATTTTCCAGAGTCAATAGCTTTTTTAGAGTGTCCGAATGGATGAAGAAGGCGATAAACACGAAATAAAACAGGAAACCCCTCCGAAAGACTCACAGATTGGCATCACGCAAGCTTATCGCACGGTTAGCACGGCTGTAGCCCTGGTTCTGGCTGAAAAGACACCCTGAAACCTGGAGGTCAAGAAGAGAAAACGACTATGGGATGAAAAAGGTGAAATGCCAGAGATAAACGAGGCAGAAAGGAATGTCACAATAGCTGTGTGGCAGGACGAGGGGCAGCCACCCCACGGGGCAGTCCAGGCGCACATGTCGGGGACCTCATTCAGACGTCCAGATATGGTTGAATAGCCCAGGGGAAAAATTGATAACTTTCTAACTCAGGTTATCACGGGACATAGAGACTTTTAGGGCCTAGCTCTTCATACTCGGTAAAATTCCGTCAAAGATATTCGTCAGTTGAAACTTGGCTGTAGATACTGTCGTAACAAACACCTTATTGATATGCTCTGCCCTTGACGAAGCCAGAATAGTGGTAAAAAAGGTGGCGCCGAGAAGTGCTCCCAACCACGATCCAAGAAATAGCGTTCCTCCAAACGTAGTAAGAGGCGGCATGAAGCGAATGGCAGATCCCATACGCAGCTTCACAGACAACTGGTAGATCAACTCCAGAATGGCTGCAGAAGTCCTGGGGCAGAAAGGACGGCTGGCAAGGCTGAGAAAGGCCAGACTTGCCACGAAGAGCGTAATTAATGCTTTTCGGATCTGTAGGTTATGGGATACAGCGCGTTTGACGAGGCGAAGAACGCACTTCATCCGATAGGCGCCCGCAATTGATCTTATCGATTCGTAGTACTGTTTACCAAGATCCGGGTCAGGATGATAGGGTGAAACATGAAAAAAGAGGCGGTAGTAGTGTGTCCGTAGTACCGACTCTGTCTGGTTTGAATAAGACATTTACGCCATTAACTTCGTTAATCTGAAAAAAGAGACATCCATAAATAAGATTCAACGCAAAGCTTTCGGAAAAGAAACCTACGCGATTTTGTATCCATTGATAGCTATTCCGGCGGTACAAAATTTTTTTTTATTAGAAGTTATTACTTTAATGCACAGTATTAACAACAATCAAGAATAAGTAGATCCTACGTGAATTGTCAAAAAATAATATCTCTTAGATTTGGGCATTATTTGCAACAGTCATTCATCCGTCTTATTACTACTGGGCATACTAAGTTATCTATAGAAAATAATCGGCCGACTTGAAGTGCTTAAATTGACAAGTCTTTTTTGTGGCTTGAATTGAAAATTTAAAAAAGATACTTAAAGATAAAGTCAGTATCAGTAAAGCAGAGAAGTATAAAAATCGACTTCAAGAACAATCTTTCTACATGAATGCGTTGGGAAGGCGACCAGCTTAAATTAAAGCTACCTTGTATAATTGTGAAATGTATTATTGACGAGACATTCGGGACACCCTATAAAACGCTGCCAGCATATCCTAGAATGAGCTCAAATTTGAATAATGTTTCGTTAAGGGTACTACAAGCACTATTGGCCTCGTATCGTAATCCTTAACAACTGAAATGTAAGACCCACACATCCTCTTTGAACGGAGATTTTTCGATCAAATAGTGTAACAATGGATAGGGCCTCATATCGGCATCTGCTGCTACATTCAGATAGCAGTACGCGAGAACGTCTACTTTGCAACGAATCGAAGAGAAATATTTAAACAAAACTTGCGATATGGCAAGATGTCGTCATTTTGTAAGTATTTCTCCGTTTGCATTTCCTCTGATTTAGAATTTCTGCAAATTTTAGATCTTTTTTTTGAAGGAGTCCCTGCCAAGACCCTGCCAACACGCTATTTTTCATTTTTTGCGTCATCGACAAGGTAAATTGTTATCGTATAGTAGTCTTCCAGAACATAGCCAGTTATCTAACATCGTTTCACATGGATGGTCGACGTTGATTTCAGCCTTAACACCAGTATCAGACGTAAAACTTGAAATATTTATGCTGGACTGAAGAAAGAAATTATATTTTTGTTTGAATAAATATTTGTGAAAGACATATGATGCTATGACAATGATTTGCTTGTGCAACCGAGCTCATCAGTGTGCATTAAAGGCACACTGATGAGCTCGGTTAAAATATTGCACAATCGATGTAGTGTTAATTTACCATCACGTTACATTGCAGCGTATGCTTTCAGCTTGATCCCTTCCACGGTATCGGGGTCAGCTAGCAATTCATCAAGAGCCGTCCACGAATAGCTCCTTGCATCAAAATATCTGTACAGGTCTGTAGAAAAAAGGTCCAATGCCCGACCAAGCAGCAAGTCACACTGGTGATAACATCTACTGAGTGCTATGGGGTATAGTATGCTATTTTCGGGTCTGCAACGCATGAGTCCGCGTTTATCGAGAACCATATGAAGCAGTCTCTCGCCGTCTGCGCGACGCTGCAGTTAAAAGGTTCCCCCTATACTCCCTCACATGCTTGAAGCTGACCTGTACAGACAGTAGTAATGTCTCCGGCCGATAAGATTTCGCCCACTAACTCGATCATACCACTTGTAGCTAGAGTCGAACGGTGTCAAAATAAGGCCACCCTGTCAGCTTGATTATCGTGACGAGGAAACAAAGACTAAAGCAACAACTTTATTGGATATTTAGCCACGTACAACGAAAGTAAGTAAATGGATAAATATTTGAAATGTTGGACGTGCAAACAGGAACATGGTGGATATTCTTTAGTACAAATAATCTCTAGTAAAACATACATGTCTTGATCTGATTCTTTGCTGTGTTTAAAAATTGTTAGAATAAAAGCAAAAGCCCACTTAAACATTGCGCTCCGTTTCAGCTGGGGCGTTACTATGATTTCTAGGGAGAGCCCTGTGAAACTATCCACTAATTACAGAAGATACTAGAAATAGACGCTTGGATTATTTGCCAAGAATATCCTAACCAATAAAGCCGTAAAAATGTATATATATACATATATGTATGACGTTAAATATTGTTTCTCGAATAGCGCGTACGTACAATATCAATTATTTGTAACCAAACATCTCAGCTCGATCGCGAGTAAAATATAGTAAACGGCTGAAATATATTGACCTGCTTAACTTTTGTGTGCGAGAGAGAAGCATTTAAGGAAATAGCCTTATAATCCTTATAGGAAATAGCCTTATAAATGCTCATGCATAGAGCACTTGGTTATATTCTATGCAAGGGTGCTCTCAACTAAGGTTGAAATACCGATAGGTACAACTAGGTTGGATCATCTATTCATCGTTTACGTTCTAGAAGGTACACACCTCTATAACACTCGTATTCGCATCTTATTCATCTACCTACTTACATTAATCCAAAGCTGTTCGGAGGCCTATGAAAACTTCAAAACTGGATTTTCACTTCAGGCAACCCGCGTCAACCGCGTCTTAACTGTGACAGTTGGGTATTTTGGGGTTGACTTTTAGAAACACTTGCCTCTTATTGACAATACTTTCTCGTTGTTTCAGAATTGTGGTAAGCTACCAATTTTGCTAATATAAAACGTAGGCTTACCTACACGAAGTATAAAAAGATCTGAAATTTTCAATGTAATCAAAAATAACCAAACACTTCGATCAAAATTGATTTTCAGTCAATTAAGTTCCCATTCAATTCTGTTTCTATCTGTATCCCAAATATAAATTCCATGGTGTTTGTGTCGCGTGCCTCTACCGTAAAATATTGACTATCTTGAATGACTGATACTTAGCTATCATATATATATATATATATATATATATATATATATATATATATATATATATATAGTTTTTCTTTTACTGGTATTTCAGATATTTCAATTCACTCAAGGTTTAAGGCAAAGGGCCCATTCCTCTTCACTTCATACTTATTCATTTAAACATGACAGAATTTAACTAAAAACAGTTAAAATTGAGTATTTGTTGATTTCAGTATGAAATCAATACTATTAACAAGCTGCCTACTGGGCGTGTACATGTTTACGGTGGGCATCGAAGGCGCTTGTCAGGACGTGGGCAGCTTTATGGGCGCGTGGGTCGACGATGGTTCGGCAGCTGGTCTTGTCAAATCGAAGTGTTCCGGACTTAATCGAGGAACCGACAGCTGGCGTAAGAGGACAAAGGTAAAGTCTGATTTACGCATTGCTCGTATGTTGATGCTTCGCACTCGTTTGTGAGAAGATTTGGAAAAACACGTTATTCGCTTGCCAGCTACATAAGTTACTGGGATTCCCTGAACGCTAAAACCAGATTGCTCGAAATTGAAGAGAGATTAAAAGCATCCTGAGGCAGCGATAGCTAAAGTTGTTATAAGCCAGTATCATTGCGAATAATTATAACTACCCTAAAACAGCAGTAGCATACCCGTATGTTCCCCTATATGGTGAAAACAATATACCACGTTTGTATAACAGCCATACAGTGCATTCAGCAAAAGTCGTGCACAGAAAATTTAACAGATATCAGTTCGTACGTTGAGCATAGAACGTATGGCATTATGAAGTAGCGTTATCTGATGTACTAGTCTATGGAGTTGACCACATTACAGATCGTGTGACACTTTTGGCAATTTCGCCTTACCAGGCCATTCAGTGCTTCACCTATTGAAAATACGTACGCCAATATGATGCTCCTATGTATTGAGACGCCGACGAAGGTAAAAACGTGCTTAACTGCGTATCCATAAGCAACGGTTCAGGCCACCTGTTTTTCCAAATGGAATTTGCGACTTAACTGTCCCTACACGTCAAGCGATAATAATACTGGCTCGAGCTCACTACCAAGCAGCTCATCCTTGTAACGGAGTGACGACCTGAGCAACGATTATCATTATTGCGACTAGCATTCTGCCTACGTGTAGCCTTTATCACGTTTTTACCCTTTCTGTACACCGGAACATACTCCTTATCCAACTTTCAGGAATAAATACAATTTTCTCAGGCATCGTTCACTCTTGGACGCATTATACAATACCTATTCATACAATGGTTAATTAAAGCGGTCGTGGCAACCAATGTACGAAGCATTAAATCGAAAAAAAATTATACAAAAATTATAATTTTCCTCGAATTGAAAAATTACATGTCAGGCTTAAAATTAAAGGCAGACAACGACCGTAAGACCAGAAAAAAGAAGACGAGATAAAAAAAAAACACATATTTCTCTCGGTTGCTTTTCATTATTAGACGATAGCCGCGCCGCTGGTTGATATTTTGGCTTTGAAAACCTTTTGTGAAAATTCTGTAAAACATTTGATTTATTTTTCCCGTTTTGAAGCTAACATGCTTTTCTCATACCCATCAATATACCTCCACCAAAATCGTCTCGCAATTGAAGATCTTTCATGTAAGGTGGCATCCGCCGATAGTTGTTTCTAAGACCGCTATGAACAGTTCAAGAAATACATTAACAACACACAAATAAACACCTACGAACAGACAACAAGCGTATCCTTATTGAACAATAACCCTTACTATGTGCACCACCGCTAATCTACTGTGCTCGGAACGAATCGTATCGTTCAAACGGGGTTTAGATCGAATTATACGCACTCCTATATATACACATGTACATGTGAAAGGGGCAACCCGGCCAACAGGCAAAGTACCTAACTGTAGCGTAGTTGTTAGCGTCAAAGTTGCTAAATTGCCCACAGGAGATTAACGGTTAACCTCCTTCAAGGAAGCGCCTGCCGTCGATGTCCAGCTGCATGCAACTGATATTCTTCTCAGAGTAGCTGCCGATTAAATTTCATTGGGATTCATAAAGCGAACTCGGAGGTCATCTCGGAAGCTCTTGAAGAAATTAAATGGTGAAATGCGGTTTCGCTTCGCAAACCTGTTTACGTTAAACTCCTCATACTACGATGCATATTGTTCACGGAGCTAAGCTCATTGATATCAGCCACTACACGGGTAAAGGGTCTGCCGACTGATTTTTTTTATATAATCCAAACACTATTCATAGATCGTATAAATTAGACACCGCAGTGGCGGATGATGGTATTGTAATTTGGAAAATGTTTAAGATATTCTATACGTCAATTCGAGTAACAGGGGAAACTATTTGCAAACCTAGATTTCTGCATCATGTACGCTTACGACCGTTATGGAAGTTTCTGACTAATTTCATCACAAATCCGTCTTTTTATTCAAGCAGATAGATTATAACGGCGTGTGCACAGTTCGCTTATTTGAAATTATGCCATTTTCCAATACTGTGCTTTACAAGGGCTAGTTATAGCTGGCTGTACCGTGAGAAGCATAGCTATCAAATGTATTAGAGGGGAAAAAATCAAATTGAATAACTGTCCTCTGCAAGATCGAATGAGCGAGACTGGTCTAACAGTCGCAAGATTAACGAGTAGCCTAAGGTTCTGGATTAAAAATTTACGGAGTTGGTTTTACAGTCCTGTACTGATTTAGACTATGAAGGTATTTAAGTCTGGCTCAATGCGCATACGTCCCGGATGTTTTTATTTACTGCGTTGAAAAAACTTAGCGCTTATTGGCGTAGCCCAATCGAGTGTCGTCTGCTACGTCTAATACATTTCGAATCCTATGCAGACTGGTGTTCAACAACAAGCGATGTAAGTAGGACAGCATTAGCTAGGTCGTAATTACGGCAGGCGGTAATATTATTTGAGTGCTACTAAAACCAAATGCGCGTGTCTGCTTGCATCTACTATTAATTAAATTGAGGGTCAAAATTAACAGTCTAACGTCATTATCCTTTACGAATATGGTAACAACATTGAAAATGCTTAAAGAAAAACATATAACGTTCTTCAACGCGGTAGTGATGTGAACTCTATATTGATGTAGCTACGGCTGGAATCAACCGTGGTGCGCCTTGCGAACGCCACGCTCAGCTTCACGACAGAGCGTGGTTTGCGTGGCCAGCCGGGAGTGCTGCACTATTACAAACAAGCGATGCCGGCTGTTGTTGGTTCAAATCTCAACATTAGCAAATGATGAGAAACGATTGATGAAAAAAAAAAACGAAAAACGCTACAGAAACCGCTGTTTTAGTATCGCCTCATCAGATCAGTTGGCAAAAGCCCTCCTGGCACTATTATAAGCGATAGCAAACGCTGCCAGTTGTTGTTCAGACTTTTCCAATCACGCCGAAAGTCTAACGAAGCATTCATAGCGTACGATTACTCAATTGCTACAGGACTATTAAACATGCTGTTGAAATGTTAGCCTTAATGCTTGACGCGCTACACTAGCCATCCAAACGGACTTGTGGCGTACAACCGTTTACAAAAACAGCCTAGCTTTTTTCCCGATGATAAAGCACTACAGTTAAGTTAACATAACTTTATCACAGTTTCTTTGCATTGAGCTGGAAACGGACCGAACGGACCATTCGCTGGGCAAAGTGTACTATCTTTTGGTTTTCTTTGTTGAAGCAGCAATCGATCTTTAATACTTAATACCATTTTGTATAGGCTTTTTTTAAATTGAACCGACTTGACTGAATTGTGTATAGGACCCGTCTAATGAAATGTCTAACGGACGCAGATTTCGAAACATTTAAACTGTACACGTCTCTAAAACTATACTCCTACAATCGTTTGCCTACTATAAAATTCATCTTCTTGCTACGAATGCCTTACATAAGGCCAATAAATCGGAATGATCAAAATGTTCGAAAACCCTCTTGTAAACTGGTATTCATAAACTTGATGACAAACTTGCCTTTACCATTGATAGAACTTGACGCGTGTTTATAATCCTTTGGTTCATTCAGGTAAAAGATTCGTGCAGTTCGGTATCTCGCAACACGCCGATCGCAAGCTTTGTTGGGAAAAAATACCGCGGGTACGCCGCCATTTTTGTCAGGTAGTAATCGTTTTAAATGTTCCCTTAAAAATACTATAGTAGCTCTTTAATGGGAGAAATACGAATCACAACAGTTCAACAAGCGATTATATAGAGGCACTCCTTAACGCAGGTACGTTTTTAATTATTAAGCACGAAGTCATTTTTTATCAGGTGCGGCCGCGAGGGAATCCACGTTTACGACCAAACACCCCACCGACCACTGGGATTGCGATTCATTCCATGGGGCGGCACTGTGGCAAATCATAATGCTGAGAACTTCTTCACGATCCACTGATTCCCTCAGTTAGTAATACCCCATTGATTGACTGATTGATTGAATAACTGCACTATCGGCTACAGATGCTCATTATTGTAATTCTAATTACTTTGATATATAATGTTAGTTTTCTAGTAGAATCTTAACTAGATACTTATACCGATGTTTACTTTGCTTACGTATTGGGGTTATATTTGAAGTTTTGCTCACTTTTTTTCCAAATCACTAATGTACAGCCTCATAGATCATCCAAACATAAAGCACCAGAAACCTCAAAATTGAGGTAATTTTAACGAATTATTTATACATTTGAATAGAGATGATTTACGGATTTGCCTAAATAAACGTTGCTATTTATCTAACTTCGCTATTAGTTCAACGACCTACTGCTCAGTTCGTAGCCATTGATTACGCTTCGAGATATACCGTTTATGGCAACTATCCGAATAGTCGTTCTATATGAAATTCAACACGTTTAATAGTTAAGTTAAAACTTTTATTGCAAAATTACTTAAGTAACGTAAACGATCAATTTCTATCAACATATAGACCGTAATTGTCATTGGACCCTTGTACGGTGCTGTTCGTCCTAACGGCCTACTATATTCAAATGCAGAATTCAGGTATTTTACTATCTACAACTCCACAGCGTATTTAATGCGATGATCTTCACACAAATCTCTGTGTACGTATGTAAATAGTGCTGTCCTCACAATTGAGGGCCTTATCTGAAATAAACATGATAACATTTTGAGACATCCTATGTATTTCACTATTACTATTATGTACACCAAAGTAAAATATCACTCATAGATGGATCAAATAATACAGATGTAGAAACAATTCCAAGGTTGTTATTACTCTCAGTCAGACCTTATGACTTCCACGATTGTTTCACTTCGAAGACCCATACCTCTCGTCAGAGCAACACATTAGGCTTCTGTGATTATTACGCATAACATTGTTGACTCACGAAGTGCGTATTCTAATTTAGAAACAACTTCGATTATTGGTAGTTGATTGATTCACAGCCGTAGATTATTTGGGAAAAAAGTTGAAAAAGCACTGACATCTTTGTGCCTTCAAACTAATATAAAGGTAAATGGAGAGCTGGGCTCAAGAGGAAAGTTGATGGCACCACCAACAAAACTGGAATGTCTATTAAAACTGTAATATATACACGTAGCAGAAGATGTTACTGCTTATTAACAGCGTTAACATAAACAAGAACATGAAAGGCATTATCTGTTTTTGACAGACGGGTCTTACAATTTTCTGTTAAACTTAGCTGAAACCAGATATTTGATTTCGTGTTCGTATTTATCGACGGAAAATGTATTGAACAGCCTTCCCGAACAAACGTCTATCAGCAATTTTTTTAAACCAATGGATCAAATCTATAATATTGTCGAGTAGCTGTTGCTAAATATGTGGTGGACTGCACTCGACCCATTTTTATCTATCGGTATTAACTATTAGATTTCATTTAGGCAGTGAACACATGTAAACAGGACGTAAGGTAAGCTTCAATAAACTCTGCTACAAAACTGTACTGAACAGCCCAGTTTATCATGTCTTGTTAGTTATGTGTTATTAGAATTATCTATATGAGCTGTCTGCATATATATAAATCGATAAAAAAAAAAACCTATGTTGCATTGGCTGGCGCCAGCTGACAATAAAAGAAAGCTTCGAAATAGAAGCTTAATTTTGAGAGCAACCCCAAGCCATTGTAATATAAATCTACAGAGTAGAGCAATTTTTTTTGACAGATACAAGTTTATCTATATTTGTATTGCACAAATTTTTCTCCAATAGATCGTCACCCAAATTCTCTAATAATTCGTCTCTTCTATGTAATATGTGAGTTTTTTTTTTCGAAAAATTGCTACAACCTTTAAACTGTATCGTGCTTTTTCCGCACAAACCACATCTCTTTCTATATTAGTTCTGTTCCTTGTGGCATCATGCCATTGTGGAAGTCCTCTTTATTTTCTTCAGACCTTTCTTTCTTAGCTCCGCTAATTTGTCTTCGAGTTAGCTCTGCGATTATAGAACCCACAGACCAATATCCAAGGAAGTGCGTTCGAATTGGGACAAACTTCGACGGGCTGTCTCTCGTAACGGGCGTTATTACTTACCAGACGAAAACAATTCTTCTATGAACATAGCAATGAATTCATCATGACGAAATTCGTGCTTCGTTTTAAAAATTCAAGCGAAGGTCCGTTACTCTTTAATCTTTCAGTCCTGAACGAAACATCAATGAGACTAAAAACTTCCTTTTTGTCCTAAGTCTAAAAAAACGTTATTGTCTGTTTTTGTGCGACTTTTGAAAATTCCGAGAAAGATTTTCATGACACAAACTGAAAGGTCCTCAATAATGTTTAGATATAAAAAGCTCAAAAAAATATCGAAAGAGTTCAGAAACTAGTTTTGATATACTTGGACTTCTTATGTAGAAATTAAACATTGAAAAATCCCAGTTAGTAATTGGCTTGTCCAGATGAACTCAAACAATTCGTTCTTTTATCTTGATTTTTTGTGGAACTATTCATAATTTTGATCCTTCGCGCTGCTTGATTTCACCTACCAATACCGATTATATACACCAATAATAATAATTATTATCTTTATAGACGGCTTCTAGTGAAAGGTACTTGCGTGCTAAAGAAGGAATATTTCGAAAATTTCGAAAGAAATTTTTTAGGTCCTAAATTGAAGCTGCCATCGATGGTGGATGCTAATCATATTTAATGAACATATCCGCCAGCAACGACACTCTCAATCCATGTAAAAGATTTCGTCAAACGATGTATTTGTGTTTAGATAAAATCCTAGATACGACGCATGAAAAAATATCAATTTAAGTACACCAGCCTGTGTGCGTGGTTATGAACGTGGGTTTAACTAGAAAAAAAAAAACCCATTCAAGCTAAACGTCCTTCTCCATTGCATCACACTGCCGAGAGTTTTCTCGGTCATACTACCTGATCTACTTGCATCTTTTTTTCCTCTGAAGTTTTCAAGCCCTTAATGTTGAGTCACTTTATTCTGTACAATCTATGTATCGAAATAGTAATCTTATGCAGCCGACAATACATGCCTTTATCGATTTTTCTACCTTTCAATTAGTTAATTTATAGAAATTCTAATTCGTCCTTTTTTTTTCTTTATAGGATACTCTCTTTTATAACGATTTATATATGAAGACTCTTTATTTAGTGGGGAGTATACAAGCTTTCCTCGCCGCCGGTAAATGCGCGGCTATCGCCTTTCCTCTTGGCATTTTTTAGGTGAATTACCGTAAAAGACACCTTATTTAGCACTACCTCAACTAACCAAGCCAAAGTGCTGCTATCTATCTAAATTTGGATCGTGGTACATATTAGCATCTAATTAATATCTGAAATCATACATCCGGTGTGTGATAAAAGCAGCCGGTTTTTAGCGGAGTAAACGGTCGACTAAAAAGAGAAAAATCGCTCGCCGGAAATATAACTTAAAAAGAACTTATTTGCATTGAGATTCGATATATTGTCTGCTACTACGCGATAAATCTATGCTAAAGTCTTAGTCAATTAATAATCTATTCGATTTACTGAGAAGCTTATGGCAAGCTTGCAATAAAGTGTCAAGGTTGACCATATACTACATACACTATATACGAATAAGGGCATTCTAGAGATAGTAGTGCAAAAAATGCGTCTTTTCCCATTACTTATTATTATGAATGTGAGATCATCGGCCACTTACGCTTAGCTAAAATGATTTGACAAAAATTTATTAATTTACTGTAATTATTCGGCATTAAATATTACTAGATGTCTATGATGAAATTCCACTCGTACTGTCCGTTTATTTCCACTGATTGTAGAACGTTGTAAATGTTACCCATCGGGATCTTTACTCGAATCATGTGGAGGGACATAGTAGTTATTAACCGCCGGTTTTCAAGGTTTCTCATCTATTTTTTCCCCAATTTGCTCTGGGCAGTTTTTCACAAAGAACATTACAAGGAGGTATATAGTGCTAAAAAGAATAGCTAGATTGCTACATTCGCTTTGCATAGAACTGTATAGTGCTCGGTGTCTTGACGATCTACTATTACATACCAGCACCCAGATAACACCTTTTATCCAGAGTTATCGTCTTTAATGATACAGAACCGTAGTAAAATTGTTGCCTATTTATAGGAATACACAAACGTGTTATGAAGACAGCTTGCAATGCGCACACAGTAATTAAGTTTAAAATATTTCTGAAAAAGAAGGAACAAACTTGAATCGATAATCTGTTTCTAGAAGGACTATTGTTATTGAAAAAATGACTGAGTGAGTAGCGCATCTTTATGTAGTAGCATTTCTTGAAGGAAATAAAAATTTACTACGCCTAGGATTTTGGGTCAATGAAGATCAATATTTGTCTCCTACCTGGGTCTAAAAAGACTATCTTAGAGCGGTTTACCCGTGTAAGCACATTTTGTAATACTATTCTACCTTATTCACTCATAAAGTGAGTCCCTTAGTTGTCTATTGGAGCCGGGATTAGAGTAAGGTATCTTATTAGATGTCGAAAAATTACAGTATAGCTTTTATACGCTTTTTTATGAACGAATTTTTCGTCATGCCTTGTCTACCTTCAAAACGTAAGATCCAAATCATTTGGATCGTGTTTGAAATTTGCGCCCCATTTAGTGTAGAAGAAATATGTATCTCTTTTTATTAGTATTGCACTTGTTAGGCGGGGCATGGATTAGGCCAGCGTCCTGAGAACAGGATGGCTGCAACGGGAGTTCCTAGTCCAGATGCACGACATTATCGCACAAGTGGGAACGCTTGTGGTTATAGCGTACGTAGAAGCATATACGAACAATCGTTGATATTTGCTAGCAGCCAAAGACCTCAATCTGTAGGTGGCAGGAATTAATTTAAACGAATAGTCCTGTTATTGAAAATAAGGTTCTCTTAAGCGTGTGATGATCGCGTACCGAATTATGTTTCTCTCAGAAGTTTTTCAGTGTTAAATCTTACGGACCTGTTACAAACCAATGGCACATGATTATTTTACAGCTCTAAAAAGTATCGACATTAGGGTTAATTTTGTTCCGAGAACACAATGCTTCAGCTTGCGCAATTGTAGTGGAAGGAGTATCGCCTTATTTCCGCAATCCCCTAACGACCAATTACTATTGCAGATATAATTAAAGTTGACAAACATATTGCGTATTTTTAAGGCCAAAGTCAATATTTTCACATGGGTATCTATTTTAAACTTTTGCCTACCACCAATTATACAGGCTTTTAGTTAAATTTAAGTGTATAACGACGTGTGAAAGCAAATCCAAAGCTATGAATCATTAATTATTATATTCTTCATCAATACGTTATAAGACAGTGTTTGATTGAGCTATTTGTACACTAACACAAATTGAATTATTTACTATTTGCAATAATGATATTTGGCCCTGTTAGGACAAGTCCTAATCAACATCATAATTAAGTGTAAAACAGCTCTGTTGTTTGTGCGTATAAAGAAAAAGGTCGTTGAACTCTTTGAGTTTTTTAGAAATGATTCGCGGAATTCATGTTCTGTACCGATGCACAATCTCTAAAGCGCCATAGCGTCCATAGTTGGAGCGTCTAACATATTCTGATAGAGGCGTCAATTCTTCTGCTTTACCCGTCTTCCTTTGTGAAGGGCTTATTAATGCACAGTAAGATGAAAAAAGCTATACACATCTACCCATAAGGTACTGGTTTGTAAAAGCCTTTAGACCAGGCTTCGCGGTCAGGACCAAATTTTTTTCTCTTTGAAGGTCGCGGCCTTTTTCTGGAATGGGAACTCCCGGTATTGTCGCGAGAATGCCACTTCACCAGTTACTGCCATCCGGTCTGCCTGTGCCCTCAGTTTCTGAACTAGTGTCCTTCCGCTTCAATAAGTCCATCCCTGTTCAAATAATTGCCGCGTCCATTAAAGCGCTGCTCAGGACTGGAATCAGCAATGGGAAGCGGCCTTTTGTTGAATAGAAGAAGAACTGATTCAGCAAAGTAGTTGATTCAGAGCGTTGTAGCTAAAATATTTTTCTCAATTAAATAATTTAGTACCGTTGTTGAATAGGGTTCCCGAAAACCCAATAATATTGAGTGATATTATATTAATATAGTGCTGCGCAGATTTACTTAAATATGCATACAAGCTATGTTTAAATTGATCATAATAGATACGAAGGCATTTTAAAACATTGATCCATTATGTGCAATAGGTAAGATTCAAAACAAAATCATCTGACACGGACGTTAAACCTTTAGCGGTAGCATTTGTGCTAGAGCAGTTTCTGTCCTATGCAGAGCTGATTATCATCACCAGGAAATCACAAGATAAATCCGTTACTCATTTTATATGCAGATGATTAGAAGTAGTTTGTACTAAACTGAGAAGTGAAAAGAGCTAGATTTAGCAGGCTTACCAT